GTTTTCATTATAACCCCCTGATACAGGTTGATATTTTTATTGGATATTTTGAACTTGTGTGGGTTTATCGACTTCTTCTTGCCGAATCCCAACAACGATATTAGAAAAATAAAGAGTGGTATGTACAAACGTATTTATTATGATTGTAAAAATAATACACTTCTCAGGAAAATAAAAATGCTCAGGATATCTGGAGTACGGCTCTGGCATTTACAAATCTATTTATTCAAATCGTACAAAGTTATTTCTCTAAGGTTTTTTTAAAAAAATAATAAACTTCATACTAATCAACTTATCATACATAGATATATGAGAACATACTGGATGCGGGATGCCCAAACCCTCTGTTTGAAGAATCACCCAGACATTGTTATGAACCATAAAATCATATCAAGGTCTATTACATAACTGAACACATTATGCCTGCTTGCTTGTTCACCGGGTGCATTTATATGTATTAGTGGCAGTAGATTTTTAAATAAGTAGTTAACTGCAGTAGGGGTTTGAACAGAAGCCTCACCTTTGGCAACGGCACATTTTAACTTTTTTCTATTATTTATAATATTCTAAGAGTATAAAATTAACATTAAAATTTAACAAAGAAATCACACTATAATATAATTCAAATAAATGCATTACATTGTATTAAGTCTTAAGATTAATATTAATTTCTTCAACAAATCGAAACGGGTTCGCGTTTTAGTGTATTTATTGTTCAAATGAAGCGACGCGACGGAGTGTCCGTGCATCAGTACACCAGTAGCCATGGTTGAGCTTGGTTATAGGTAGGCTAGAGCGGACTGTTATTAATATCAATGACATTTGTAGAATGCGCTGCACGAACTTGCCGTAAACTTTCCACTGTCTGCAGGAGCAAACGGTAACACTCAACCGCGAACTCTGTCAGTCTCCGTACACTCACTTCTGACAACTAACAACTATCACATATGTTATTATTTCTTAATATCAGGATTGTATACACAGCTACGAGTACATCTATACACGAGAACATATCACTATGAAGACACACAGTGTGTGTGCTGTGTGCCGTGTGTACACTCTACAACAAAATTCTTATGTCGAGTACAAAGTGAAAAGATGAAGCAGCCGTAACTGCTGATATACATGTACATACTTTATAATACGAATACATGTTGTGTATATCCATGTACCATCATGAATGATTATAAATTTTAAATTGTTTAAGATAACGTGTGCCAGTCTCTTTACATTCAAACACTGTCGTCGTGCTCGACAACAATAATTTAATAACTACATCAAATCAAATATATAAATAAATCCATTTATGAAAAAGTCTTATGAAATAAAGTTTTATTACTAAACAATGGGCGCGAACGCGACGGGTGCAAACGTGTACTGTTTCAACATTTATTGTAAGTGCAAAGTTGGCACGATGGTTGTTGCGTTGTCAGTTTGTTTTCTGTGCCGGTCGCCTCTAATGTTGTCACTAAACTATGTTATAAGTAAAAATACTAGGAGGTTTTATTGCAAGTATTTTCCTTCAACAAACTTGATCAAAATTTATGGCTAGTAAGAATCTTCGTCAGTGTCAACATCTTGCGTGAGTCCGCAAAGGAGACAACGCATCTGTCGCTTGCTTCGTCTGAAGTTGGTCGCAGGTGACTATGGGCTACATTGGTCACTTACTATCAGTTGAACTGAAGTTTTACTCTATGAACTCTGTTTATGGATAAGATAAACAATGCTGTTAGCTGTTTCTGCCGTCAAATAGCACCAGTATTGCAACTGCTGTTTTCCCATCTGAAGGGTATGGAGTCAGAACAATAACGGGCTGTGGAGCATTCCGTATCTTAGTCCTCAGAGTCAGAGGTGACAGACAACGTATCTGTAACTTTATTTTAAATCTTCTTCTTATAGCCTTTGTTATTCAATTTAAAACCCCGAAATGCTAATAAAAAGAAGTAGCGACAGCGCAGCATACGTCCAGTATACACTATACATATAAACGTTTGACTGAGGTACTGCGGCACCGCAGGCTGCAGGTTGGACTCCCGCTGTATAAAAGATTTGATGAAATATTTTTCCGGTTTATGTGGCTGTCCAATGCGGTATTATGTGTTACATTGACGCTAATAATTATCTAATGTGAGGGTGAGGTTTGTTAAATCAAAAATCGGCGGGGAAATTCGAAATATCCACATTCGAAGTCACAAATATTTTCAACAGACTTCAAAAAGGGGAGCTAGTCAATACGACTGTATGTTTTTTATGTTTGTTACCTCATAACTTTTTTCTAGATGAACTAATGTCGATGATTCCTTTTTATATGAAATCTGGTGCTTCTCATGTAATCGCATATAAATTTGATCAAGCTCTGAAATTTTTAAGTTATCCTTAATAATTTATACTGAAATCAGTTGCACATTTTTTTTTAATTTTACCACTTGTGTTGCACACAAATACATGCTTCGGCTCAATTAGTGTGGTGTAGGATCCAAAAGTTTAGTTTAGTAGTAACATTGGAAACAGCCGGCCTGTATCAGTTTTACTTGCTACTTTCTGTTTGACAATAAGGCTGCGAATGAAGGAGCCAACAATGAGATGGACAGTGCACGCGGAAGTAATAATTGAAGCCAAAAAATTTAATAAAAGTTAAGATAAGCTCATCAGCAAATTAACGAGTATTGAATTTTTCTATTTTTCTTTAGATTTGATTTTTTGGTTTCACCTGTACATGCTTCCTCTATATTGTTAGTATTTAGTCTTTTAATGTCATAGACATCAGAAATAATGTTAATGTTAATTCTCTAAATTTTAATCTAGTAAAATACTACAAACTCTATTTCTTACTTAAAATACATACTTTTAGAAATGTGTAATTTGCACGGGTCTATAAATGTTATTATATTTAGTTATTTAACTAAAGGTTATGTTTTTGTAAATTTGATTTATCCTGATTCGCTGCAGAAATTAGTTTACGTGAAAAACTTTGAAACTGCTTTTGCAGGAAATTCTCTGAATAAAAATAAACTCTGGTTTCACACTGAGAATTGGCGACTAGGTCGAGATCGTTGTCATGATGCTAATAGCGGCTAAGCGCACTCCAATTTATCTAGTTCTTGTTACTCTTCTACTCACTACAAGTATATACATTACAATTTATGTTCATAATATAGAATTTTCTAGGGTGTTGAGATATGTATGTATTAACAACTTTCTTATAAGTACGATGTGCAGTATGTGTAACTAAGTGATGAGTGGTTTGGTTTGTATAACATTATTTTGACTATACTACGTTCGAAATTCATGTAAAAAATATTTTGAAATTTAATAAAAACTATTCAACTTTAATTTACTAAGTAACTTTTTTAAAATTGGAATAATTGAAGTCCTATAAGGTCTAAAATACTTTGTCCAGCAGTTAACGGCTTGTAGCCACTTTGTATATGAAATCTAGATACTGATATTTAAAGATTTCGACACAGCGTGATCGGTTCGAAGATCGATGTTGGAGCATTGAAGTAATATGTACTACGTGCTATAACAGATACCGTGAATGAAATCTGTGAGGCAATGCGGGGCGCGTGAGTGGAGGTATAGGGTTTACTGTCGGACTTTAGTGTTCGCCCGAATGTCGACTTCTGCCCGAAGCCCAAGTCGGAGCCGATTAATTGGCTATCGTCATAATATTTGGCCGAAGCAAAGTCGAAGCCGAAGGAAAAACGCTAAGGAATTCAGTTCAAAATTGGCTAAAATTAATAAATAAATGTAATTAATAATGCGATCATACGCGCGTCGCCATGTCAATCGTGCTCTCACTCATTTGTAAAAGTTCATTCAATTTAGCCAACGCCTAGAAGAAATCTTCGGCTTCGGCCAAAACTTCAGCCCATTTTGGCTGAAGCCGAAGGTTTCGTTGAAGGTGGTTTTAGCACCAGGTGGTTTTTTACTATAAACCATAGCTAATCCATCAATAATCGCACTTTCATAGTAAATTCTATCACCCCTATTAGTGAACTTGAACTATTCCGACTTAAACTATTTCGATACCAATTTTATCTAAATCGGATCAGCGGTTTAAGCGTGAAGAGGTACATTTGCTCACGCAGCGATGAGTGATGTTTACCCTACCTCGCCCGCAGTACGCCCGACCACCCTGCGCACGCCGGACCGCACAATTTTATAAAGTGGCTACTTTTAAAATATTTGACCAAATTACGTAGTTTAAACGACAAAGTTTATCTACTTTGAACATCAGAAGCGATTAAAGTATTCATTATGATAAAATTAATTTGTTACTACAAAATGTGCATTGGAAATAAAGTATCAAATTTTATTGTATTTATGGTTCATTATTTTGGTAAAAACGGCTTATACATAAAATATAGATATATGTTGCCGAATTTTTTGTGGAACTATTTAAGAGAAACAATTCCACCAATATTATATTTGTGTGTTAAAACTGTAAGAGTTACATTTTTTGCACCACACGCCAAAATAGCTTGCAGATGACAGATTTTTTCCGACTTACTTAAGACTTATCGTTATATTTTGACCAATTTGCTCAATATCTTTATTAGTCATCAGAGCAACACATAGGCTATACTATGTGTTGCTCTGATGTATGAGCTATATATTATTGTAAAGTTTCATTAAAATACATTCAGTAGTTTTTGCGTGGAAGAGTAACAAACATCCATACATCCATACGTCCTCACAAACTTTCATGTATATAATATTAATAAGTTGGATTATAATATCAAATTAAATTTGAAGGTAGCCATGATTAACTATGACATTGGGACTTTTAGACAACACCTCAGATTTCTATGACTATGGGTGCTGTAAAGTACTCGAAACGTCGGGAACACAAAATAATCGATAAAATGTGTAAAAATGTTCTCCTAAACATACGAAATAAGACTAAGTAAATTTGAGTTAACGGGCTGTAATGCGTATCGCCTGCACCAAGTGTCGGCGTGCGTGCTAGTACGTAGTTGACAGTGGCTGAATATGTTCTAGTTGGCAGGTGAGTGCGGCGCGGCGTCGACGTCCTCGTCAGGCTTGGGTATGTCGAAGAGCTCGGCAAAAAGCGCAGGCAGCGCGAGGCGCGGCCAGTGCGCGCGCGGCCACGCCAGCAGCTCCGCGTGCCGCACGCCCAGCGCCCGCGCACTGCGCCCCGCCGCGCCCCACGCCTCCGCGCGCTCCCCGCGCCCACCACCCGCACCGCCCTCGCACGTCTGCACACACACGCACATTATTACTCGCGACAGCGGGAAATAATAGCCTAATTCTGCTGCGCTTTTCGAATGACAAGTGTAGAGAACCTTTTTACTGGTAAAGAGACATCCTATTTTGTGGGTGGCTATGCTATTACACCGGTGTGGGTCCGTGCCGGCGTCAAATCGTAGCTGGATGCTGCTGTGTTTCGTATGCTGAGTGTAGAGAACCGCGGACCCTTTTTAATGAAAATGTGGCATTCCATCTTTCCGGAAATCAAAATCAAGAATGACAACGCATCTGCATTTTGATTCTTAATTGTGAATGAATGTAGGTGATAAATGCTACAATATCTACTTACCATCAGGCGACTTGTGTAATTTCGTTTGCCTTATTCTATTAAAATAAATATAGAGACAACATGCGCAATACGCGACATGAAATGCGCTCGATAGCCGATCAGTCCGTTTTCACCAATTACACAATCGTGTTATTAACTTCAACCTGTGGCAGTCCACTGCTATACAAGCCCCATCCAAGGCGTATCAGTTAGCCGTTATCGCCGTTTGCTACCACACAACTTGCGCAATCGTATAATTAATTCAAAAAATTAAACTGCTCAATAAAAACACCAAAATTGGTTAGGGCTCAAACCTCGTACTGACTCTCATACTGTTCAGTATGAAATATTTGCTAGCTCATCGATTGAAATATAAACATGGACATTGCAACTAAAATAAATACTTTAGACCTAACAGATAAAAATACTGTAATAATAGTAAACATTACGATTTCAAATTCGCCGAAAAATTATAAATCAATCCATCTATCAATTACAGCCTAGAAAAACTTACTGCTAAACATAAGCCTCCTCCATAGATCGCCCCATAAGAGGGACCTTGCCATAATTGCCACTCTTGGCTGACCACCTCGTTGTTTGTTTGTCAACCTCAGTTTCCAATAATTTTACAGATTTTTATCTGGAAGATGCTGCTGCTAATCTCCTGTTTCATTTTCCCTCAGTCCCTCTTACGAAACCAACGGGAGATGGGGTAGCGGGTATTCTCTCACCGCCAATACACGTAGGTAGTAAATTTTTCTGATATTTCCTATAATCTATAATATAAAAATGAATCGCTGAATGTGTTGCTAAGCGCAAATCTCGAGAGCAGCTGAACCGATTTCACTAATTCTTTTTTTATAATATTCCTTGAAGTACGAAGATGGTTCTTACGGAGAGATTTTAAAAATTGCCTGAAAACGTCTAAAACAACACTTTTCTATATTCCGATACAAAAGATTCGTAATAATACTTAAAAGGCAATTTGAACCTTAATACCATACCCTAAAGTTTAAGTGTTAGTGGAGTGGTTCCGGGAAGGCAAAGCAATTGAGTGACGTTAGTGTCGTATAAATATTAGTGTCAATATTTCTCAATATTTATACACACTGGCAGATAGCTGATGTTATAAGGAGTAACTTGTCTGCTTTTATTTTAGGGTCGCCAACACATAGTAAATTTTAAATATTCCATTCCGTTACAGCCCTTCACAAGTCTATTGCTAAACATAGGCCTTCCCTAGGTATGACACAAACTGCGATCCTAAACCAAGTGCTCCATCAACTTTCTGCATGTCTTACAAGCTCGACACTCCATCTAGTGGGAGACCGCCATAGACTCCTTCACCCGAGACTGTCACTCGAGGAGCCCCGTCGGTTGGTAGTTCTTCGAACTTTATTGCCAACCCATGCCGCTTCAGCTTATTGATCCGTTGGTCTATGTTAGTTACCATGCTATATACTAGAAATACATGTACCATGTATCTTACATATGCAACGTTATACTTTATGTAAGTAACCGACACATTAACGTTGAAAAACCAGAGCTTACAAATAATTTACCCATTTTCATCTGACAGCACTTCCCTTGGTCAAAGTATAACGGTCACAAAATACATGTATACCCAAAGCATACTCTGAATTCTCCCATGCACAAAAAATATGTATAATAAACTCAACTCCAGCATTAGTTGTCGTTGCGACCCCTAGTAAAATCAAATTGGTTTTTACGAAGCAATTTATTAATATTAAAAAAAAAAACTTAACATCAGATCTAAAATAATTTTTTCAAAAATTTTACTTAATGTTGGTAGTACAGAAATTGGTCTAAAATTGGTGGAATCTAATGTACTACCAGATTTAAATAAAGGTATGACTTTCCTATGTTTCATTAAATCAGGAAACACACCAGATTCAACGCTTGTATTAAATATAGTGGCTAAATATGGTGCTAATGTATCTATTATAGATAAAATAATTTTAACGGAAATCACCCATAGGCCTACCGTTTACTTAACATCAATAGTTTTAAAATATTTAACGATGTCTTTTGGCAATACTCTATGGAATTTAAAAGTAAACAAGCCTTTACATTTCCTTTAAGCAATGAGAACCGACCCCTGAGGAACTCCGGCGTAAGTAGGATCAGATAAACAACCATCAACGACGACTTAAATATAATATATTAATATATAATTTTATTTCATTGACAATTCACAAACCTTTAGAACTATAGCTGGTATGCCATCTTGTCCACAAACTCTAATCACGTCTAGATTCCGCAAGGTTTTAAGAACCTTCTTGATGGTGATGTGGACCTCTGACATAAAGGTACATAAGTAAGATAATTCAGGTGGAACGTTGTTGTCACTGTCCAATCATGAATTGCAAGCAAGCCCGTTTTCTCTTTAGCTGTATGCGCTAATGCGCAGTGTTGGCCGAAAGAATTTTGTCTCGACCGCTTTCGCAGCTCTACTGCTGGATGGTCAGACAGAAAGTTTTACGCCGATATGTTAGATGCATCCGGAACTGGCTTTGCTTAACGCTTTGTTATAGAAATTGGCTGGATGAAAGCTCTCTTCTTGAAGCATATCTGGTGCTTTGTGGTCTCAAGCATCAACCCAGGATAATGGTTTAACGCTCAATGCACCCAAGCTAAAAAGCCAAATACTTGTGCTTTTTAGCTTGGGTGCATTGAGCGTTAAACCATGGGCGAGCATTATTATCGGTGGGAGCTTCAGAAAACTTAATTCAGAGCGTCGTATAGAAAGGTACGACATTACGAATCCATTACGAAAACAAAAAAAGTGATTACGTGGACTATTTCAAAAAATTGGGTCACTGAGTTTGCTATTATGATTTCATTACAAACCCATGCCGTGAACATAATACAACATCGATTGATAGTTACCTATAATAATAGTCTAGCCATATGTAATAATGTTACGATTTAAAAAGTTTATATTTTCTGAATTCAAATTTGCAATGCGTATATTACGAAAGATACGAGTACTTCGATCGATCTACCGACATTTTCCCCTCGTGATTAATTAATTATATCACGAAGTGGGGCATTAACAAAACATAATTATAGCAATTATTTTGTGCAAAGTAGGTATTCAAAAATTTGGCATCAGCTATTTTTATGTATTGCACTTTAGACAGGTACACCAAATATATCTCTGTCAAATACCATAAAAGACAAGGTTTTTGGCGGGAACTTGATCGGCGGCGGCTTGCTGCTCTTGTATTATTGTTTAAATAATGGTTAGAAGTGGACTTTGATATATAAAAGTGGTGCGATTATGTGTATTAAGTGTCTGCGCATGTGAACTATTAGTGAAAACCGTGAAACAAGTGCTCTGATGGTGATGGATTCTCAAGATAAGCTGTTTGTTTGCATAGGCGCCTTTAGATACCATCGCCAACTGTCAGCTGCCTGCTGGCTCAAGTTGCCGTCAAAATCTCCCAAGTGCTGCACAATGTGACGCATCAACATATTGTGAAGCAGTGAACTATGAAGGATAATTAGACATGAAGACAAGGCTGTATGGCATAGTTCCTTTGCTTGCTCTCTCGAGCGAATAATAAAAACAACAACAACAACCAAGACAATAATGAGAGAAACAAAGAGTCCGTGCTGTTAGGATAAGGCGAGTTGAGAATATTGTTAAAGCCAGAATACGATTGAACCGTATAAGAAAGCAAAAATCATTAGCGTTTGAAATAAAGATTCCTACTGGGACTCTGTTGCGTGTTTGTTGCCAGTTATCAAATAAGACTTGAAGCTAGATGCGTACCATTTGCCTTAAATCAGTCCCTGCAGCATATAAGAGCGGAACGATCAAGACGTCTGCAGACCCAAAACGCTGGTGAAAGACATAAAAATGTGCTCTTTATAGACAAAAAATAGCAGATGCGTTGACGGTCTTTTAAAAAGAGCTGGCTCTTTTGTTGAAGGTCCCTAAGCCGTATCGGTTCAAAAAAATTGCTGGTGGTAGTCGATTCCACAAGGAAGTTGTGCGAGGAAGAAACATTTTTAAATCACACAGTAGTGGATCGCCAATAATCCAAATGGTATGGATGGTTCCGCGAGTTTTGTCGTGATATACGATGGTCAAATTGAGCGGCTGGAAAGAGTCCGAACAATTCCTCTGATTACTCCCTCGCACTCCTAGATGCGATAAAATACGCATAGAAATTCAGGATTTCTTTGCAATGCCAATCGGTCTCCGAAGCTTCGTACCACTCTGCGCTGGATACGATCAGGTGGAAAGAGCTCGGCACTGGGGTGTACCGGCCTAGAGATGAGGATAGTATTCCATGTGAGGCCGAACTTGCACCCTGTAAAGTTGTAAGCGGTGTGCCGGCATGAAATACTGTCCCGCTCTACAAAGTACGCTAACTGGTTTGAGAACAATGTTTTCGACTTTATAAAAGGTTAAGACTGGCCCTCGTTCAGTCTAGATCTAAACTAGTTGCATTATAAATTGTGGTCACTACTAGAGGGTATTGTATACTCAAAACTTTACTCCGACGTTGAGTCACTCACGAAATTGTTATTAAATGAAATATGTACACACAAGCTATATTATTATAAAACCATTTATTTGAAGAAGCGCTTAATTGCTATCTCATCAGGTGATGCTGTCGAAGATGAAGTGCATTGACTTAACAAAAGCCAATTCACTCTTTATTTGAAGACACCCAAATTGTGGTCGAATGGAAAGACGCCTTATTTCGTAGAGGTGGTGTAAGAATATCCATTACCCCATAACATTCCGTAGGTGTCGTAAGAGGCAACCGATGGAAACCAATCAGGAGATGAGCAGCAGCGCCTTCCTAATAACAACTAAAAATAAAAAAATACGGTCGTTAACCAGGTCACCAAGCTTTTGTATGGCAAATATCCCTACTATGAGGCCTATGTTCAGCAGTGAATTTTAAAAGTAACGGTAACAATAACAGAAAAACTCTGGAAACTTATTCCACCCCTTTGCTTTTTCCTTTTATTTTAATGTGTTACAGAAGTTATGGCCACACTAGTACAGCGTCCGAAGATGAGTAGTCGAGCAAAAAGGCTCACCACGTGGTTGAAGGCGTCGGCAAGTGCGCGGTGCATGGCGGCGATGCGATCGCGCTCGCTGAGCGCGGCGCGGTGCGGGCTCAGCAGCAGGCCCGCCGTGAACAGCGCCAACTCCTCCTCGCTCGCTTGCAGCCGCCCCACCGCCTGCACGTACGACAGCATCGCCGTCGCGAACTGCGCCTGCGGGGTACGCATGCACTACTCAACAAATAGTACTAGCTTGTACGTGCCAAGTACGAATGGCTCGGTTCCACCGGGGACGCCCACGCTCATACACAAATCAAATAAGAGCTCAATGCTGCTGCAAATACACCCTTTTTACTGAAAACAAGGCATTCCATCTTAATTGTGAGGGATGACAACGCATCTGCATTTTGATCCTTAATCAAGAATAGATGTGGACTTCTATAGGCCACAACATCCACTTACTAATAGGTGGACGGGGTGCTCGTTTGTCATCCTATTCTATAGAAAAATAGGTATTCACCAAATATTATTGGGCATTTGTGCAGCTATGAATTGAGAACGTAAAAGTCTATCACTTAGTGTTAATCAGCTTCAGACCGAATTTCGGTCAAAGTTAGGTCTTCGTCACAACGAACGCGATCACGATCTGCGCAGGAGAGGTTTATAGTGCCTAAGTGTATACGCAAGCACATGTGCACTCTCCATTCTCTCACTCTTATTAGTCCATTGGAACGGTAAGTTTTTTAAGAGTGGTAGAGCCACACGGCAGCTTTTGCTGTTGCACGGATAGGCCCGCTCGAATCGGGGTAGTACCACGACCTCACAGAATACCAGCGTGAAGTAGAGGTTTACTTCTGTGTTTTGCTTGGTATTGGCAGGTGGTCGGAGGCCCAATTCCCGGCCCCCATCGACATGGTAGCGGAATGAAACAAAAGACTACCCCAGGAGGGTACCAAAACCCCTGGAGAATCCCTCACTGATCATTCACGACCAAGCTCCTCCACTCCTGAGCGTGGATGCCCTCCGTGCAAATTCCGCTCGCGACTAATACTGCTCGGGGTAAGCGGAGCAATAAGACCAAGGCAACCCCTGTCACGCTATCCGTGAATTTTTGCAACACTTCCATCTAGAGACGGCGAAGCCGGCCTTGCTCTTTTTAACCGGGACTCAGGTGTCCTCTCCGGCTGATGCTTCATATCTCTCCTACCCGGGGTACAAATTAGAACACTCCTTTGTGCCCCGGGCTGCAGTTTGCGTATACGTCAGAGAGGACATCTGTTGTTCATCTGACAAACCGACTCATCGACCACGTCCAAATGGCTACAGATTCCTTGTTACTGCAGATGCCATCCGCAGATATCGTGATTCGCCCTCCTTTAGGTTCGTCGGACAATTGTCTTGTTCGAATTGTGGTGCCACTCACACTAACGTCACGGTTGCATTCTGCATGCTGCCGCCGTGTTTAGCATTATAGGTCGGCCGATTGGGATAGTATGCGGTCTTTTTTTGGATCCTACCCTTGGGGACGGGTTCACTTCTCGCCGGAAGATCCCAGCGTTGTTGCTGATTATGTTGCTGATGTGATATTTCAGGGTATGGAACTTTTTATTCCATCCTCTGCCGTGGTTTGGTCGCTCCAGTAGAATAGCATCACACTATAAGCATGAGTATTACTGGACTTGGGCTGACAAATCAACGTCTCGGGATGTAAACACCAGTGCTCTTAAAAAGAAGTATAATTCCGCCTCCAGGTCTTTCAAAAGAGTCATTGCTAAGGCAAGGTCTGAGCACATCGGCAGAATTGGCGAGAAACTAGTTCACCTTCCTTCGAGAACCCGTGCATTCTGGTCTCTCGCCAAGGCTATCCAAGGGAACTTCTGTCAACTATGTCTTCCATCTCTGCACAGAGAGAACGACTCACTGGCCCATGCTGCAAAGGAGAAAGCAGATCTGTTAGGCTCTCTTTTTGCGTCTAACTTAACTCTAGATGACGGGGGGAACACATCGCCGACCATCCTGCGATGTGAGTGCTCCATTCCAGATGTGCGGTTTACACAGCGCTCGGTTCGCAAAGCACTCCTCTCCCTGGGCGTCAGCAAGTCGAATAGGCCTAATGGAGTCCCTCCCATTGTGCTGAAGACGTGTCCTTAGGAGTTGGCACTGGTTTTGACGTCTCTTTTCCGGTACTCCTACTATCAAGGTGTAGTCCCGAATTCATGGAAGACAGCTTTGGTCTACTCGATAAGGCGACCGCTCAGGCCCGTCCAACTGCTAGCCTATCGCCATCACCTCCTAGTTCCCCAAAATAATGGAGTTTATCATAAACTGCCAGCACATGAGTTACCTTGAGGATCACCAGCTGATTAGTGACCGCCAATATGGTTTTCGTTGGGGTCGATCAGCTGGTGATCTTCTCGATCGACCATCTGTCCCAAGCAGATGTCGGATTTATCGTCCACAAGTCTCTCGTTAACAACGTTGTCAAGATTGTGAGTGTGTCGACGAGGGTGGCGTACCTTATACTCAGAATCACCAAACGGTATTCTCTGTAGGTCATACAGGTTTACGCATCAACCTCGGCACATCCCGATGAGGAGGTGGAGGAAATGTATGACGATATCTCTAGAGCCATGAATAAGATAATTCATCATCATGTCCACTATACGGTGTTAATGGGAGACTTTAACGCAAAACTATGCACAAGAGACAACGGTGAGCTGAAAGTGGGGTAATTGGGAATAAGACAACGGAACCCAAGGGGCCAGCAGCTGGCCGACTTCATGGAAAGGAGGATTTTTTATGATGAACTCTTTCTTCCAGTAGCAGTAATAGTAGGAAATGAACCTAAACGGCATCTATTCAGTGATATTACAGTGATCGCAATGCTAAAAACTGACAGCGATAACCGAATGGTAAGAAGCACACTGAACCTAAACGTTAAGTTGGAGAGGTGTCGTCTAATGAAGTCAACGCTCCGTCCCTCTCGTGCTCCAATCCAAAGTCTCGAAACCAACAGCTCGAGCTACAAAACTGTTTTCAGTGCTAGAAGATTGCAATGCAGTGGACGACATGGATTACAAGCTCGTGGAAACTGTCCATGAGGTCGGAGCTGTTTTGCAAGACCCGTCGCAGAAGAACAAAATTCTCAGATCACACTTTTAATCTCATGGTTGCTAGACGGGAAATAAAGCTGCAGCTTCAGTAGATTTGATAGCATACAGGCAACTGAACAGACAGATCTCAAAACGCATCTGGTGGGACTTACGCAACTTTAATACTGCTCATATTGAAGAAGCGATCGAGCGGAACCAGGGCTCCAAAGACTTTGCTAGAGATCTGTCTGCCAGAAAGAGCCAACGGTCGAAGCTGAAGATTGCGTGTGGTAGCATCGTTTCCGGGACATCTTAGATTTTGAGTGAGATTGCGAAGTTCTATGGGCAGCTGTACACATTATCGTTGGAGACACACTCAAGTGTGAGTAACGATAAAAGTTTTATCCAACACTATTCCGATGATATCCTGGACAAGATTAGAATGGCTCTCCAGCACCTTAAAACGGCAAGTCCCCTACTGAGAATGGAATTATAGCGGAGCTTCTGAAAGCGGGTGGAAAACTGGTACTTAAAGTTCTTCAGCTCTCTAATTCCGTCCTCAATGATGGCACTACTCCGGAGGCGAGGAGCAGAAGTGCGGTGGTCTTGTTCTTCAAGAAAGGCGACAACGCTCTCTTAAAGAACTACAAACCGATTTCCCTTCTGAGCCGCGTCTACGTGCTCTTTTCGAGAGCCATTACGAATCGTCGCGCACGCAGACTCGGCGACTTCCAACTTCCCGAACAAGCCAGTTTCCGAAAAGTCTTTAGCACCATAGACCACATACATGCCCTTTGGCAAATTGTACACAAGACCGAAAAGTCAATCTACCACTTTGTCTTGCGTATGTGGACTATGAGAAAGCCTTTGTTTCTGTCGAAATTTGGTTGGTGTTGCAGTCCCTTCAGAGGTGGTAGAGTAGGGCTAAGATGGCTATCCAAGTACAGAACCAGAGTTTAAAACCTATCCAACTGCAGAGAGGTGTAAGACTGGGTGACGTAATATCCCCGAAACTCTTCACCGCTGCATTGGAAGACGTATTCTACCTATTGGACTGGAAAGGAAAGGATACGGTATTAAAGTCAAAGGCGAGTACATCACTCTCCTTCGGTTTGCCGACGATATAGTCCGTATGGCAGAATCGTTGGAGGATCTAAGGACTATGCTCTATGACCACAATAGTGTCTCCCAACGGATATGCCTTAAGATGAACATAGACAAAACAAAAGTCATGTTTAACGTCCATGTCACGCCTTTGGTGATAGTTGTTGGGTGCACTAAGCTCGTAGTTGTTGACGAATATGTTTACCTGGGACAAATAGTCCGACTAGGCAAGTACAACTTTGACCGAGAGGTCAAACGATGGATTCAACTCGGCTGAGCAGCGTTCGCGAGATTACGACACATCTTCTCGTCAGATATTCGTCAGACATACCTCAAAACCTCAAATCTAGATTGTACATCCAGTGCGTGTTGCCAGTGATGACCTATGGATCTGAGACCTGGTCCTTCACTGCTGGCCATATGAGGAAGCTCAAAGTCGCACAGCAAGCTATGGAGAGGACTATGCTCGGCGTTTCTATGCGTGATAGACTTAAAAACGAGGATATCTGCAGTAGGACCAGAGTAACCGACATAGCCTAAAGAATTAGTATCCTGAAGTGGCGATGGACAACCTATGGGGAAGAAAGGTTCTCGAGTGGCAGTCTCGTACCGGCAGGCGAAGTGTAGGGCGTCCCGCCACTAGATGGAGTGACGACCTGGTAATGCAGGAAGTCAATGGATACGGGTGGCTCGGGACCGTGCTTTGTGGCATTCCCTGGGGGAGACATATGTTCAGCAGTGGGCTTGTGAAGAGTTGTAATAACATGATGATGAATTATCTTATTCAGGAATCAATGACCAAGCTCTAAATATAATTGAAAAAGATAATCAAACTGTTACTGTTTAGAACAGAACTAAGCCATTTTGTGTCAATGGTTACTTTATATTTAAACGTAATTTTATTAGTGTACATTTTTAATTATTTATTTGAATAATAATAATTTCATTTCATTTTATTGCGTTAAGAAATAGTATATAATTTGTAAGTAAATAATTTAATTTCCTTCAGGAAATAAACTAATACATTTACGGAAGGAGATAATCGTACGTCTGTGTACATACATAGGTGTATGAAAAGTCAGCGGCACGCACACTTGAGTCGAGCTGTAATAAATTAGTACCTGGATATAACAGTCGTATTATTTAAGTTCATCTGTGTGCCGCATTATTTTTATGTAGGTATGGAATAGAATAGACTAGAATTTTTATTCAATATAGATTACATATAAATCTCTTTCCTGGAAAAAACCATCAAGAAACCAAGTGCACATAGAGTACCCAGTACACATAATACAATTGTTTTGTATATTTTTATTCCTGGAGCTGTAAAATTGGTAATGGAATATTTTAAGAGCCGATATACAAGCAGGTCCAATTATGAAAAAGATTGAAAAGAGGAACGTGTAGTGCGGCAGAGCAGCAGAGCGGCAGAGCAGCAGAGCGGCAGAGCGGTTGATTCTCCTCACTCGCTTTCGAGGATTACTTAATAACGAGTACAGGACTTTGTTCAGCGGTGATACGCTTACACCTATAGACTGTCAGTTTATTTCAATTTTATTTAAATAATAAACATGTTGTGTTTTTCTTAAAAAATAGAATAGGGTCTGCACGAACCTAACATCTGTGGGCCTTTGATTTTGTTTTAAATGTTCAATGTACCTAAGTACTAACTCCTGTTGACCGTATCTAAAGAAAGGCCATTCTTTCATTAAGTTGCTTCACTGGCCTTGCAAGGAGACATTTCTTAACACATTTATTGTCTTTCCTACGAAGACTGCTCCGATTAATTGTTCGAATTTAATTTTGGCTCCACTTTAATTTTCATCCACATTGTCTTGACGGTTAGCAATACACCGTGCATTTTTCTAGGAATTTACTACCCCGTACGACTGCAATTTACTGCCACTAGCAGTTTTTTTGAGCTGGTACTACAGGGACCTAAAGAAGAAAGCCTACTGCTTTTGAAAACGCTGCCAAAGCACATCCCGTTTAGCAGACATTTGTGGGTGACAGAGTTCACTGACCATCAGACTAGTAGCGTGCTCGTTTTGTTATATTTGTTTATTCTATAAAATAAAATACAAAATTATATACTAACATCATAAATCATCTCTAGCTGGCTGTGTGTGAAGGCAGTGCCGTCGTCGAAGACAATGCTGGACGGCGTGGACAGTCTCGTTATCCTTGTCAGCCAAACTTCGAAGAATCCTAGCTGTAAATATTGTGAAAACTGCAACAAATTCTGCGAATATTCAGCACAATGGGAATAGCTTTATTTTGATTGTACCTTTAAATAAAGTTGCGCACAGTTGACAACAAATATCGCAATCGGCACAAATAAAAAACAACAGCCAGCACATACACATAACAAATACATACATGATATACCAACACTGTAATATCTTACACACAGCATTGTAATATCCAAAAAAAATTAACAAAATAAGGCGAGGGCTTTCGATATATATCTCACTCGCTTAGCGGAGGTATTTCGCTCTAAGTTATTGAAATGATTTGCAGGGTGCACATTTAGTGTTATATAGCCAATGTAACCATTCCGCAAGTATAGTTACTTAATACAAATATTGTCATGGAGTTGCATAATACATAAATTATGAAAATCTACAGTTATTGACAATCAATTATTTTTATAGATTTCTTTAGAAATCAACCATTATTAATTTTAAATATGTAGATTAGAAAATAAAAGGGTAGAGTCGCAGGCTAAGAGAGAAAACCTGACAGCAATTACCTTTTCATTTAACCTAGTAAGATAACATATTTATAATCATGAGATTTGTGATACCTTAATGAGTATAAGCTGGTCGTCTTGCGGCAGCGTGTGGAAGCCGGGCAGGCGCTTGGCGAAGGCCACGACCTCGTACACGGCGGGCGTCATGCGCACGGCCAGGTGGTGCCACAGCAGCGCCGCCGCCTCCCCGCGCCCCGCTCCCTCCGAGCCGCCGCTCCGAGCTGCGCAAGCACACGCTCCTCCGTCTCAAATCACATGTTACGTGCTAGAGCCATGCCACAGCTATATTGTGGCATCAACACGAATCGCTCGGCTCAACCGGGGAAGGATCACACTCTCACAGAATACCAGCGTAAATACCAGCTCAACGCATCTACATTTTAGTAACTAATCGAGGATAAATGTAGATTTCTACGGGCCACAGTATTCAATTACCATCAGGTGTACTGAGTGCCTGTTTGTCAGCCCTATTTTATAAAAAAAAAATCATTGTACTATCGTCACATCGTTCCGTTGCTTCTACCGTTCATCTTTTGTACTCTAAAGTACTTTTATCCTTATCAGATTTTTAATCTTCTTTCACTTCTTGATCGGTCATTAGAAAAATGTGCTAAATAACGCATTTCAAGGTAAGACCGATATGACGTAATAACGTCATATCGGTCTACTGCCGTTACGTAGTGGAAGCGTAAGAAATCTTCTACCCCATATCATCCTGTGGGTGCGGTAAAAAGTAACAAAAGGCAATGAAACATGATACGGGCAGCTGCATCTTCCTGTTAATAACTTAAAATAATAACCTAGCAAAATACCCAAGCGTTGCGATTATGGCAAATATTCTCAAGCCAATATGCCAATATGTATTCAGTATTCGGCCAAATGCGTACTATCTTCTAATCGGCCCAATACGTTATTATTTTCATCACGAGGCAATAATGATTCGGTGTACCGTCAATAGGTAATGTCTACTCATTGATATACAAAAAATGTATATCAATGTGTTTATTATTCAACCAAATACCGAATAGTGGCCGAATATTCGTCGCATCTCTATTGTGTACATACAAAAGTGACCGGCATACGATTCCTTAATTATTCTACTATTTTATATAATATATATATATACAAATGAGTAATGGTAGTTGGGCAAGAACAACTCGAATTTGATTTCCTCCTGCACCAATAAAGTTTGTTAGGCGTCATTTAGGTAAGAATTAATCGGCGATGCAGGAAATGCACGTGAAGTTTGCGACATGCGTATCGGTACGGTACTCTTGCCGGCTCTAAATCTTTAAGAATTAAAAAGCTTTGCCTTTACTTTACAAACAAATTCACACAACAGATGGTACTTATATCTTATATTCATATTTTGTAATAATATAGAGGGAATTAGGAGATTTTATGACGTAATCTGCCTCAGCCCCAGTTGTGGAAACCGTGAAATATTTACAACTTTTTTTATTACTTTTATTAAATGCAAAAATAAATAACTTTTCCGATAGAGTTAAAACACTCTGCAAAAAAAGTTTGAAACTAAGTTTTCCTTCCCTAGGGTTGCCGTTGTCCAGTTGCTAACTTTCGACATTTAAGTTTTAAGATTTCAAGGAAGCCCTACAAACTTCTTCCTAACATCAAGTTGTTTCGTAAAATTTTTGTAACGACTCGCGGCAATGAAATTGATTTTATTAAATTCTCAAATAAATAGAAACGTTGCTTTTTTCAAATGTTACTTCTAAAGGTTAAGCAAATGTAAAGTTTATAATGTTACGTGTGACTGATAGTAAGTAGTTGCTGTAGCTCACGGAAATATTATGTATCTAACTTTAAACAGAAACACAAACAAAAACTTTTTTATTCAATATGGATTATAAATAATACTTATTGAAAGTTACCACTGGCTCGAAAAAAATTTCAGTCCTGGGAAGAACCAGGAAGAAACACACACAGCGAAATTTTTTTAAATAACAGCTTACAATCATGTATGTTATACAATTAACCACACAAAACAAATTAGAAATAGCTTGGTAGCGATCACCTCAAACAAAGTAGACTACAGAAAGATGTGTTGTCAGTTCGGAGAATTAATACGAAATGACACAGTTTTAACATAGAAGTTATCGATTATGTAGATACGAGTAGGTACAAGTGAAATAAATTCATTGTATAACCATTATTGGCTAGCAGTTTTAATTTTATTTCGTAAAAAATTTCAATTTTACCGTAGGAAACAAAGGTCACAGTGACGTGTGGGAAAACACAATTTATTGGGCGGCAGACGCTCAAGTGAGTCGAATAGGTATATATAATGCAAGTGTCCTGCTTACAGGTTTACAGGAGACATTTTTTTCCGTGAATATAAAGCCGCTGTTACTTCCTTAAATGGAGGATGCGCAAAAGCGGTGAAGGTTAAAGTCAACTTTTTATGACAAGGTTCTACACCGAACAACAACCGGGACAATGGAACTTAAATACATCGGTATCTACTATGCGTGCGAAGCTGTTCGAATGTGTATTGTTTGATTAACTCGTTGGTGGTCGCACACGCGGTTGGTGATCATGAGCCAAAATTACTTGTTGGGTTTTCTGCCAAGAAACTCTCAGTAGCAGCTCAGAATTAGGGAGCTGGTGATATTTTCACCCCCGCGCCTCGGAAAACACTTTGCTGCATTTTGCTGCTTGGGACAATTCTACCAAGCAGCATGCAAGATGTAAAAGCTGTCTATAAGACATAAGAATATAAGATATAATAATAACTATAACTATAAGAATAAATTGGCACATATTATGCAGCCTTATGCGTTGGTAGCCCTGTACAAACATAAAAGAGGCTGTATAACCGCTGTATTACAGCTGTTTATTGGTGTGCAAGGAAACTATTATTACAATTACTATCTTATAAGCAACTTTTAAAGACAAACGTTCTAAATTTGTTTTTCAACGGTATTACAAATGAATATAAAACAAAAAGAACGTTTATTATATACAATTTATAAAAATGTAATAAAAAAAATAATTACTTAATTATCATACAGTATTATAATTACTACTCCTAATCGTGTCAAGTCGTTCATACGTGGTGGAGCCATGCTGCAGCTATATTAGTAGTATAATTGTAGCACGAATGGGTCGGGTCGAGCTGGGAAGGACCACGATCTCACAGAATACCAACGTAAAATAGCAGCTTAATGCTCTCGTGTTTTGGTTGGTGACTATAGAGAATCGGAGATACTTTTTACTGGAAAATCGGCATTTTATCTTAGTTCTCAAGGATGACAAAACATCTGCATTTTGATTCGTAATCGAGGATAGATGTAGATGTCTATAAGCCGCAGCAACCACTTACCATCAGGTGGACTGTATGCTCGTTTGTCACCCTTATTCTATAAAAAAAATCGCAAACGAAGATAGATGTAGATGTTTATGGGCCACAGCAACCACTTACCATCAGGTGGACTGTGTGCTCGTTTGTCACGCTTATTCTATAAAAAAAGAACGCTGGCTGAGTTTCCACGCTAAATTGCAATACTTAGTCTTTGATCGAGAAAAGAACCAGCCCTCTTATCACCAGCAGCAACGGCCAGTCGCGGATAGAGTTCCTTTAGGAACTTCACCGCACTTGAACCCCACGGACCGATAGCTTCTACAGCCATTGGCACAAATATGTAGTCATATCTCAGAGACTCATATTTGCGCCACTTACTCAGTTCAGCTGCCTCTAATGCCTCCCCGGCTCTAAACGGGGTACCTCTGAGATGAGAGGCCGACAAAATGTCTACGCAAGTAGCTTCCCACACTAGGGCTCTACCTCTCTCCCAAGGGACCAATGTAATACCGTCGCGTCTCCTGTCATCGTCTCTAAATATTCCACAAGGCTCTAAAACCGATGGAATATTTATAGAGACCATAACCCTTCGGATGACATCGTTCAAAGAACAGTGCTGTGAAAACCCACCCGCACTATTCTTACATGAAAATCCGTGGAGCCTAAACTTGTAGACTACTACAAGGGCACTGATGGAGTTGACAAATCGCCGCTCCTATTCGGATTCCTACGGCGATGCGCAAGCTTTCCCCATCAAGTACCTAATGTGCCGAAATTACTTGATGGTTACGTTTATCGAATGATGACGACGATTAATGTCTTAACATATATTTAGCATATTAATATTATATTTGGATTGAAGTTGAGTTTTGATTGTGATAATTGGTGAATTGAAAGTGCAAAATTAGATTTACGGTAACCAGCGCCAGCAAAACAAAATACTAAATACGGTAACCAAATATCGATTGTATAGGTTAGAATAAAAAAAAATCAATGGATATGAAGGCACATTGGGGCACAGTGATCATTAGTCAAACTGAAAGTAATGGTAAAAACTTAGACTAATGTCTAATATTCCCAAAATTTTGTTTTTAAATGAGTCTTAAAACGGCAACCATTATATATATAACGGTATTTCGAGGGTCTTATAGTCTTAGTAGCTGTACTATGTATGTTATGGATTATATCATGCAGCCATTAGTTTTTAATCAGTGCTATAATAGGATATTTTTATTACTTACGCTGTTTAGCAGTTTTTTAGACATGAAAATCTTGTCTTGGGAACAGTGTTGGATAACTTTTATTTAGATTTAATATGATCTTCTTACTGCACCAAATATATTTCTTTTTTTCCACATATCTTATTGATAACAAATAAATTTTGTTCACTAGCAGAATATAAACACTCAAAGCATGCAAAACGGCGATATTCTGTCACTTATACAGATTTAAGTTGTACTATGGCTGTTATTTTTTTTATATCACTCTCATAGACAGAAAAAGACAGACAGAAAGAAAAACTTTAATGATAAAATCAGATTGAAGTGTTACCAAAATACTCAAACTTGTATACTAGAGTTTTCATATTCTGATTAAGAACCCTAAGTATACATAGGTCCCACAATAAAGACTTTATACAGCTTGAGCTTTATAATAAATCATAAACTACTCTTTATATTATACGACCTCTTTTCAACACTCTTTGTTATTATATTATTATATATTGATGTTCATAATGCTTTTGTGCTGTATGGGGTAGGTCCTGCACCCGATCTCTCTCCGGTCGTGTCGGTTTGCTGTACCATCGCACTATGAGAGTGAGGAACACCCGGGCACTGTAATCACGTCTTACGCAGGTGGTTAGTCTCGATTGGCTTCTAACCGAAATCCGGTTTGGAGGACAACATTATAATTAAGTGAATGGAGTGAGTGGTCACCTTCGTTGTCGGAGTCGTCGAGCATGATGACGGTGTGGAGCTGAAGCGAGCGGCGCAGTTCGTCGGTGTAGGAGTTGTTGTTGCGATGCGCGGCCACCACGAGGCGCGAAAGCTCTAGTGTCAGCTCGGCTGCGTCGTCGGCGCGCTCCGGCGGCGGTGCGACCGCACCCCCTACCCCTGCCCCGGCCCCGCCTCCGCCGGCACCATCGCCCGCCCCACGTGACAGCTCCGGTAGCGCCTCGCTGTCTCGCGGCCGCTTCGGAACGCGCCCGTACCGTACAGCTGACACACACACACACACACACACACACATAAATACACAAAGGTTTGCGTGTCGCTGGGACTTATCGGGACTTCCAGGCGTCTTTAGCGAATATCTGATGAGATTGCCGTAGAACTAATAGATATATAAAAACTAATACGTGGTAGAGCCACGCTGCAGCTATATTATGTTGTAGCACGTATGGGTTGGCTCAACCGGGGTAGGACCACGCTCTCACAGAATTCCAGCGTAAAATAGGGTCCTAATGCTGCTGCGTTTCGTAAAGTAAGTGTAGAGAACCACTGAATATTATTACAGGAAATGCGACATTCCATCATAGTCCTCAGGGGTGACAATGCATCTGCAATGTAGATGTTTATGTCACAACATCCTTCCACTTACCATCAGATGGACTGTGTGCTCATTTGTCACGCTTATTCTGTAAAACACTACTACTAATTAAATTTGGAGATTACAGTCCCAACTGATAAGTGCATCACATAAAGCGCACTAACTAACCAAAGCTTAACCAAAACATATTCACTTTAGGCTTGAAGACACACACACATTATTCTAATCGGATGAAAAGACAAATGCTGCCAAATTATTGCACGCATTATGAACAACGAAGCAAACCGTTTGGTTCGAATACGAAACGTTAAACTATTATAAGTTCAGTGAATCTACAAAGTTAATTTTCCGCTTTACATATAACTGCACCCAGTTCATATACTCGTATATGTAGTTTAGTAAGTTAGTTACTATTTATCAGATAATATAATTTCTACTTCTGTTTCTAACTACAATCTTCTCGTTAGCTCAACGATAATCGTTAGTATTACAATATTGTAAAATTATTGCCACAAAATAAGCACAGTTTTAATGTCGCAAAATGATAATCAATAATAATACTAATCTAGATAAATTACAAATGGCTTATAAAACCTGGGATAACACGTCTCAATATAAATATCTGCCTATATGATAGAAGTTTTATTTATTACATGCCCCTAATTCGTCGCAGAACTAGTATGGGTCTCGTTCCAGCCTAATTGTTCTTGTTAAGAAAGTCGATAGACGAAATTATGTTATCAAATGAAATTTCAGCACGATGTAACTCATAAGGTTTTCGACGCAATTAACATTTATTTTAGTATCAATTTCATAATTAATATCTGATTTCATTTCTTTAAATATTATATGAAGTATTTCTAATTTCATAGGAAATATAAAATTAAAGCATTCACAACGAGCCATTTAGCCCGCAAAGTATATTATGTCATCATTGAAGTCCTCTGTTGAGCAGGCCTTCCCCCAAGGAAGCTACGAAGGATGCTTCTGAGCCACCTACTTCCTGCATCTTTTTCCAGGTCGTCACTCCATCTAGTGGAAGGCCACTCTACACTGCGCTTACAGCGACGGGTCTGCCACTCAAGAACCTTTCTTCTCGGTTATCGGTTCTCCGAACTATTGGCTTCAGCTTACTTAATCGTTAGGCCATATCGGTTTTTCTGGTTCTGCTGCGGATATTCTTATTAAATAGCCTATGACGCAGAGAAATTCTGAGCATACCACTTTCTATAGCTCGCTGAGCTTTCTCATACGGCCAGCAGTGAAGGACAAAATCTCTGATACATATGTCATCACTGGCAACTTCACTGATTGTACACTATTCTTTTCAAGTTTTAATGTATACGTGTCGAGAAGAAATTTCGTAATATCTCTGTCGAAGTTGGACTATCTGGTAAGACAATATGTCCTAGTTAAATATCGGAATATCAACAACTTTGTGGCGACAAGCGATTTCTGTCCGTTTTGAATATGTTTATTGAACGGTTTTGAACTAGGGCTACAGCCCGAACACTTCAGCACTTCGATATACGACTTCGGTCGACTTGGTACATCTGAAGCCACCGCACAAATTTCGATGGAATCAAGGGCTTTCTAATAGTCCGCACACATAAGACATAGTGATAGATCAGTATTTTCTATAATTTGCCGAAATCATTAAGTCCGTGTACGAGATGATTCGTAATGAACTATTGAAAACAGCGCACTTACGCGGCATAGAAGAGGAATTGGTCTGTAGTTTTTTAATTAGAGAGTTGTCTCCTATCTTGAAACACCAGATCACCGCCCGCAATGCGTTTACTACCTACTTCAAAAAGGAGACGGTACTGAATTCGACTGTATGATTTTTTGATGTGTCACCTCATAACTGGGTGGACCGATTTCGATGATTCTTTTTTTTATTTGAAAACTGGTGCTTCAAATGCGCTCCAATATAAATTTGATCAAGGTCTGACCAATAGTTTTTGAATTGTTCTTATTAATTTATATTGAAGTCGGTTGTACAAAATTTTTAATTTTTAATTATGGCCTAGAGATTCGAAAAGACTGTAAAAATAGCTCAAACTGACATTCGTCGGGATATCATACGGACCGCATCGGGTTACCGAGGTTCCACGGCAACGGTCGTTTTTCAGTTCAGAGTGATTTCATTTATCACCAATGCAATAATTTAGTCAATATTTTATTGTAGGTAAGTGTATATAAAACAAAATAAAATAATTAAAACTTATAAATGAATAAAGGGCAAAGCATTCAAAAACTAATAAGAATTTTAAGATGATTTAGAAAGACGATATAGTGTTTGTGACGGCACTTACAGTCTCGGCTCATACCGACAGCCAGGCACTTTTTGAAACGGCAGAACTGGCAACGGTTGCGGTTGAGTCGGATCACGTGGCACTTGCCGTCCCGCAGGCAACGGTACTCGATCTGCTTCTGGATGCTGCGCCGGAAGAAGCCCTGCAAATGGCACATAGTAACTACACCACCGCACCACGCTCACTACTTGCTACACACCTATACCTGGCACACGCCGTCTCATTCTATAAATTAATTCATCTACAAAATTTTAATCGTTCATATATATATATATATATATATATATATATACATGCAAGTACAGGTAGTATTTTTTAAATCCATACTTCTTTATTCTATCAATCCTTTGAGGGTCTCATAGAATGCTCTGATAATATTTTCAACCTATAACGCTTATGCACAAAAGGGATACAACAGCGAGACATATACACTTTGATGAATAGTTAATTTTCTTATATTGATTTAAACTCAATCAAAGGTGAGGCCCACGTTCAGCAGTGGATCCGCGAGACCAGATAATGGAGAAGAACTAAAACGACCTATGTATTGAAACATTTGATTTTGAATAATATATTTGTAGCATTTGGCATAAGCTCATAAGTGTGAATATTTTAATAACTCATGGTTGCGTTGCGGATATTGCGTCGCGGCTAAGATTTTGTTTTAATTCGTAATAAGTACATTGTTCTTTTTTTGGTCCATTTTGAACTAGGTAAGTGAGTAAATTTAAATCTAAAGATTGAATGCCAGTTATGAGCACTCGTTAATCAAAAATTGTAAGTAATATTTTGATGCATTTAAATGTACTTGCTATGTTAGGGGCTCTCAAGCAGAATATGAGCTTAATTTAGCCCGTATTGGAAGTTCGCAAACGAAAGATGCAGATGAATCCCTCGTAGTTCACTTGCTTTGAATCTATTTTTCTCTTGACCGCCCGCCCTCAAAATGTACCATTGTATCCAAGTGTATCAATCACCGAATCTGATTGAGCTATTTTCGCTCCTCCTGTCATGTTATAATGTAATAAACATTTTATTTAGCTCAATGGCAAAGATATATTCCATCAAGTACGATCGAAAAATTAGTAATAAGATACTTAATAAATTTCGCGTATTTGTCATACACAACAGTTAAAACACGATAAACTTAAGTTTTCTTTTTAGTTATAAACGTAATAAAAGATTTGTACATAAATATTCAGGTCAGACATCTGTATCACCTATACTATTACTGAAATACGGATCCAAAGATAGATACAAGAATGATTAACTTTATTTTAATACTAGCTGTTCCCCGTGAGTCCGCCCGCGTGGAATCTATTGCGATTGGATTTCATGGGTTTTCATTTTTTTACGCGGTATCCTAATTTTTTCCTAAAATAAAAGTAGCTTAAGTTACTCCCTTAACATCAGCTATCTGCCAGTGAAAGTTCCATCCAAATCGGTTGACAGGTTTTTGCGTGATGCGTGTTCAGACTGACGTTGTGTTAGTTTTATTGTAGTATAGATAGAATATTGATAACAGTGTCAGTAGAGCTGTTGAATTAAAAGCAAAGAGTGATACATATACACATCAACAGAATCTAGGGATATTTTACATTTCAACAAATATTTCAAAATCTATTAAGAACTTTCTCATATGTGGTTGATATAAATGGAAGAATGATAGGTTATTTTAGGTTTTTAATAAAAAATAAAAACATTTTGTAATTTTTTAAACTCTTAAGACATATCTCTTAAAGCTCACATGGCACGTTAAATTAAAAAAGAAAAACAATCTAATCCCTATTCATTAATTAATATCAGTAGAACAATTTTAAATTTTCTTTAACGTAACGAATTACTAACAATTTTGCCGCCATCTTATGTTTTTGCTTTTAAATTTGTAAATTTTGAAAATAGAATATAAGAGGTTTAAATCTGTACGTAAACTTTTTATGGAAACTAAAAACAATAAAGTCGTAAATAATTTAGGATTAAGGTATCCCTAGATTCTGTTGATGAGTAAATAAGTGATACTATCTTTGAACTAATCTTATCTCAATGGAAAGATGCGTAACTTACTTTACATTTCAATGATGCGTTAATGAGGACATCGTCGACTTATTCAGCCACTAGGGCGGCGCCAATTAGGCATGAGGAGAAATATTTGGCAAATTTCATAGTCGAGCAGTGCATTTGTTACAAAAGTGAAGAAATAATAATAATAATAATCCCCCATGGTCAGTCAGAACAACTATACTATGTAGAAATAACAAGCCAGGATTATCTATCTGCCTATTAATATTTAAAGACCCTTTTTCAAACTAACGATCACAAACCAGGCTGAACGAAAATATGAGTGTTGGACGTAAACTAATGCCCCCAGCTCCCGGCAGATCCAGTAACCATATCGACTCTGGCGGAAGCCGAGATGTTACTGTGTCTTAGGGCACATACAATCTCCGGGCGAGGAAGATTTCCCGTCAAACGACTTAAGCTATATCTACGGACACCGATGCCCTTAGTGATACTGATAGTTTATATACCTCCGAAAATGATGGGCAGAAATCAAAGCCATACACTTTAAACCAGTCTTTATCTTCCTCATCATCATCAAGTAGCCAATTGCTGAAGGATGATGCATAGAAAATAACTTCTGTTATGGAACCTGTGCCCACCATCAGTAAACGTAATACGCGTAAGAAATGGACTTCTGAAATGAATGAATTTATATTGCCTACTTACCTTTATTTAACAATGATGGATACTGACACTAAAGGTTATTTACAACCATTACACATGACATTCATAGAACGATTCCCAGATATGCAAGTTACCCGTCAAAGAATAGGAGATCAGCGAAGAGCAATAATGAATAATAAACTTTTATCACAAGAAATAGTAAAGAAAATTTATAAGTGCAATCAAACTTACACTATTACATTTCCCCTGTTGTTATGAAGGACCAAAAAGATGTTGTGTTATTCAACATCTTTTGTTATGTTAGGTTAGCACACACGAGACAATGTTGGCGATCGTACATGTACTGACTTAAATAAAAACTTTAAACTAAAATGCCTACGCGTACATAATGTGTTCGGTGTAAACTGAACATCTTCCCGCACAAAAAGGGAGATAAACTAAAAATACATAAAAAAAAAGTAAAATTATTTGAGCAAATTCAGGTGTAAAAATTATTCTTCATCGCGTTTAAAAATGAGGGTTCGCAATATAGGAGATGTCGCTCGGTCTTGAGTGTTGAACGCGTTCGGGACCGCGGGTGAGGACGCACGGTCGGCGCTGACGGCGACGGGTTGCGTTCTCGGGCCGTGCACTGCAGCGGCGCGCTGCGCTCTCGGGTCGGCCACCGCAGCCACACGAGCAGAGCTTAGACCTTCCGTAGTTAAGTTATCGAAGCTAAAACTTGAAGTGATAGCCGTGTTTCTTCTTTGTCGTAGTCGTTTGCAGGCAAGGCATATAGCAGCTATCACAGCCACTCCCACCAGAATGTAAATCGCAGCGTAATGATGTATGTCATGGAATGTTATGTTTTCAGCGATCACATTTTGGGACATCAGGTTTTTGATGTTTTCGTTCAAGGTGGTTAGGTTGGCTTGGAAACTGTCGGCGTCTTTTTCCAACTCTCCTGTTTCTGGAATCGAGAGCCTGATAATTTGGTTAATAGTAGCGATTTCAGGCGTATAAATTTCAGGTTCGGTTTTCAATTCACTCGTAAATATTTTGTGAATATGGAATGATAATTCTTCACTTTTGATTGAGCAACCGACTTCCGGCGCGATGACCCCGGCGTATTTCAGCCGTTCCACGGTAACTTGATCGCCGCAAAAAAAACTCTTACGTTGCATTTGTCGCATGTTGTAAATAAGTAATTGTTCGCCTTATTTAATTGAATAAACATGTTACTGCACTCGGCGATGTTTATTTGGTACTGATTTGTGTAATTATTCATCAAACACGGATCTACATCTGAATTTCTTTGGTATATGAGGTGTTTGAGGTGGCATAAATGTGCTGAAAATTCGTACACAATACACTCTTGTAAATCGATAGATGTCATTGGAATGGAAATATCCTTTTCTAAATTAATTGCAATGTAATCTGCAATCGGTTTAATGTTCACAAAATTGTTTGTCCGTTTACGAGGAATCGGTATAACTCTGTATAGGTTGTAATTATCTCGGCTAACCAATGGTAATCTGATTTCAAAAATCAAGTACTTATTAGTCATCTGTGTTTTCACTTGAAGAAACTGATATGTTTTTTGAAAATCTGATTGTATGTTTGATATAGGTAGAGTCAAGTCTTTATACAATATCACAATATACACAATGCTATAGTACAGAATCATCATAGTAAAGAAATCAAGTGACTCCGCTTAATATGTATGATAAAACATTGCAAAAAATGAGGTACTTATGATAATAACACAAAATTGACATATGGACTCAAAAGACTCTACATGGAAGACATCGCCAAGATTTTAACCAACTTACCGAAGACAAATTAGCGTCGAACGCATGGTGTCAACGTGGTTAGCTTTACCCTGAGACATAGTTTTATGTGCGCAATTCAAGACCAAGTCATAGAGACACGTGGTCATTAAAGCACATCAGTAAAATAAAAAATCTACATGCTGACACATGTAAACGCTGCTGTAATGTTTCAGAAACAATCCAACACTTCACTGGTGTTTGTAAAGCGATTGTTCAGCCGAATTATAAGTATAGGCATGATCAAGTAGCCAGTATAATTCACCAAAAACTTGCCCTTAGGCGGAAACTAACTGACCAGCCAACTCAAGTATACTATAAATATAAACCTGAAATTGTCCTTGAAAACATTACTCACAAAATGTATTTTGACAGAGATTTATACTTACCGACAAAACTATACACTATAATAGACCGAATATAACATTAATAGACAAAGCAAATAAATGTGCTTTTATTATTGACATTGCTATACCTTTTTAACAGTGGTAGAGCCACGCGGCAGGTTTTGCTGTCGCACGGATGGGCTGGCTCGAACCGGGGTAGGACCACGACCTTACAGAAAACCAGCGTGAAGTAGAGGTTTACCTCTGCGTTTCGCTTGGTGAGTGCAGGTGGCCGGAGGCATTTTAATTTGTAACAGAGCATAGATGCAGATGTCTATGGGCCGCAGCAACCACTTACCATCAGGTGGACTGTGTGCTCGTTTGTCACCCTTATCCTATAAAAAAAATACCTAATTCACATAACTTACCGAATATACAATTAATGAAAGAAAATTCAAATGCGCTGATTTAAAACATGAAATTATTAGAATGTGGAACATACATAACGCCATTATAGTGCATATAGTCCTCTCTACAACTGGTGTAATACCAAAAGCGCTTCATCAATCATTAAAAACTCTTAATTTACCAAAACTTACATATATTCAATCGTAAAAAGCGGTTTATTTACATATATTCAATCGTAAAAAGCGGACTTGTAGAATAGTTACAGAGTTTACCACAACAGAAAACTACCCATAATGAAACACGCTCATGGTACCCACTTGCCTTAGTCCCGTGGTAGTAACCATTAATAACAAACAAAAATTAACATATATATATATATAATATTAACATTATATATATATATATATATATATATCTATATATATATATATATCTTTATATATAAAAATTACGTGTCACATTATTTGTCCGCGATGAACTCCCTAAACTACTAAACTGATTGCAATGAGATTTTGCACACTGTGCGCAGTTTGGTCCAACTTGAGAGATAGGATAGTTTTATCTCTATAAGTGAACCTCAATATTTTGTATTACGAATTTAAGAATTGTTATAGGACACAGGGTCATCGGAGAGGGCAGAACAACGTCTGCCTGGTCAGGTAGTATATATATATATATATATATAGTATATATGCACTAGTATCTCTCTCTCAAATATTAAATTATATATTTATAAAACATTATATTTAAAAGAAAACAGATAATACACAATTATTATATTTTAAAGATTTGATGTATGATTCCTAGGTAGGTATTGGTACCTTGCAACCCTCGCAGGAGGTGACGCCGTAGTGGTACCCGGAAGCCTTGTCGCCGCACACCTTGCAGGGTGCCGCCGCCTTCGCGCTGCACGCGCCGCCGCCCGCCCCGCCGCCCTCCGCCGCTTGCTCTGCACTCACACGTCGAGAACACGTTAATGATACACTCACCACGACCATTTCAGCTGTTATCTTCACCAATGTAAGCGTAGATTCTGAGACCACTAGGTCTTTTTTTATAAAATAAAGGTGACACACAAGCACCCAGTCCAACTGATGGTAAGTGTAAAGGTAAAGTGCTGTGGCCCATAGACTACTACATCTATCCTCGATTAAGAATCAAAAGGCAAATGCGTTGTCAGCCGTGAGAATTAAGATGGAATGCCTCGTTTCCAGCAAAACGGGTATCCGGTTCTCTACACTCACCACACGGAACACAGCAGTGTTGAGCTGCTATTTGACGCTGGTATTCTGTGAGAGCGTGATCCTTTCCAGGTCGAGCCGACCCATTCGTGCTACAACCATAATTAAGCTGCAGCATGGCTCTACCACGTAAAAAGAAACGACGTTTGTATTAAATATAGTGGGTACATAAGGTGCCATTGCATCTGTTATAGATGCAATAACTTTAACGGAAATCTCCTATAAATAATTTAACATCAATAATTTTAACAGGTTCCCTGTCCGCGAAAGAGATACAATAGTGAAACAATTATACGACTATGATTGATGGAGAGCGAAAGAGTTAAAAAATATTTAATTTACGATATATTTTGCAATACTCTATGGAATTTAAAAGTATTTGAACAAGCCTTCACGTTTTGCATAAGCAATAATTTGGCGACAGTAGGAGAATTTAAAGATTTTATTGTCGAAAAAAGGAATATCACACATTGTTAACTGTAAGTGCTGCGACGGGAACCCCACGTTTGGCCGTTTGACAGTAGTTGACAGTCGATACTGGGAAGTTGATAATTTATAGTTTATTGATAAAAAAACAACTAAATTTAATTTAATGATAGAAGGGACACGCGTGACCGGTATTGTTGGACTCAATTAGCACACTGACTCAAAATGCATTATTGTAGCGTAATAACGTAAACTGCTGACGCTACAAATATGTACGTGCTGCAGACCGTGCATTAATATCCAATTGAATATCCGAGTCACGTGGTTCCACCTTCCCCGTTTCATTATAAATTATACTCCACTTCTTTTCAATTTTGTTGGATGTAGTTTTAATTTTGTTGCTTAAACGTAAATCCTTGGCTATGGAGCATAATATTTTAAAAATTTTGTGATCGATGATCGATGATTATACGATCTTTCTTCATAAATCTGATATTATAACCTTCACCTACATTTATAAATCCCTACTGTCGCCCATCCATTAAATGATTTGCGACTGTTTAAAAAGAAGTTTTAGAAGTTAATATTCTATTAAAGCCTAATTTTAAATGATAGAAACAAAAAAATAAACTTTTTTTATTCAATATAGGTTATAAATAATACTTATTAAGCGGCGAAGCTTGCGAAGTCACTTATTGATTTCACGATGTCTGTCCGTCTGTCCCACGATTATCTCGAGAACGGTTTTGAATTTTCAAATTCTGTTTTCAGCAATCGATTACTGATCACCCAGGCATCTGAACCTCCTATTTTGAAACTGATTGCTCAACGGCAACCGTTAGAAACCGCTACAAAGCTGATTGCTTCGCCACTTTGCTATGCTGTTAGCTTGCTAGGTTTATTAAGCGGCGAAGCTTGCGAAGTCACTTATTGATTTCACGATGTCTGTCCGTCTGTCCGTCGGTCCGTCTGTCCCACGATTATCTCGAGAACGGTTTCGAATTTTAAAATTCTGTTTTCAGCAATCGATTACTGATCACCCAGGCATCTGAACCTCCTATTTTGAAACTGATTGCTCAACGGCAACCGTTAGAAACCGCTACAAAGCTGATTGCTTCGCCACTTTGCTATGCTGTTAGCTTGCTAGTTTTATTAAGCGGCGAAGCTTGCGAAGTCACTTATTGATTTCACGATGTCTGTCCGTCTGTCCGTCGGTCCGTCTGTCCCACGATTATCTCGAGAACGGTTTCGAATTTTAAAATTCTGTTTTCAGCAATCGATTACTGATCACCCAGGCATCTGAACCTCCTATTTTGAAACTGATTGCTCAACGGCAACCGTTAGAAACCGCTACAAAGCTGATTGCTTCGCCACTTTGCTATGCTGTTAGCTTGCTAGGTTTATTATTAAGTGGCGAAGCTTGCGAAGTCACTTATTGATTTCACGATGTCTGTCCGTCTGTCCGTCTGTCCGTCTGTCCGTCTGTCCGTCTGTCCGTCTGTCCATCTGTCCGTCTGTCCGTCTGTCCGTCTGTCCGTCTGTCCATCTGTCCGTCTGTCCGTCTGTCCCTCTGTCCGTCTGTCCGTCTGTCCCACGATTATCTCGAGAACGGTTTCGAATTTTCAAATTCTGTTTTCAGCAATCGATTACTGATCACCCAGGCATTTGAACCTCCTATTTTGAAACTGACTGCTCAACGGCAACCGTTAGAAACCGCTACAAAGCTGATTGCTTCGCCACTTTGCTATGCTGTTAGCTTGCTAGGTTTATTGAAAGTCACTCTTGTTTAATTGCCACTGGTTCGAAAAAAACCTCTGTCCTGCGAAGAACCAATAAGAAATCCATCGGGACTTTTTTTTAAATAACAGTGTACAATCATGTATGTTACACAATTAACAACACAAAACAAATTAGAAATAGCTTGGTAGCGATCACCTCATTCCCAGGGGTTATTATCATCCATAAATTCCTTAATAGTATAATAATCTCCTTTTAAACAAACTTAGTTTAATAAAGTTTTTGAACTTTGAGCAGGTCAAATTTTGTATATTTTTTGGGATTTTGTTGTAAAAGCGTATACATCGCCCCAAGAATTAATTAGTTGTGTTCCTAGCATGTACAGAATGAATATCACTTATTTTCGTATAACTGCTTTTATTTTTATGAACGTGTATTACATTTTCATAAATGTATTGAGAGGCCGAAGTTAATATATTAATTTCCTTAAATTTTTGTCTGAGTGACTCTTTAGGCTTTAAATAATAGATTGCTCTAATGGAACTCTTCTGTAAAACAAACATAACTTCAGTGTCAGTCGCGTGTCCCCATCGCAAAATACCACTACACCATGCCATGGAAATAGCTGAAGTAAACAAGTCTAGCTGTTTCAACACTGGTAAGATTTCTAATCTCTTAGGAGATATTTTAGAACCGAGATCTAGGTCAGATTTTGTATCATTGTTTTTTCGCCACAAAATAATATCGTGGATTTGTTGACATAATAAATAATTTATACATAGTTTTTTTTAGATATGTTTTTCTAGGGCATATCGGCAACGGTGGCTGCGATCATCAGAACACATAAACTGGGTAGGCGCCACTGCAAGTACCCGTGCTAAGTTAAAGGCATGTGGCATTATGTTATTTTAGCCAGTAAATTTATAGCCAGTGAGTTCATACCTAACTCTGATCGGTGACAGAAATAGCAATAAAAGACGTTTCACCCGTCCTGACCTATTTTCAATTATAATAATTCAGATTCAGATATGTAGACACCATTGTAATAGATGGAGTAACGATTTGGTAAGAGTTTCTTTATTATTTATTGTAAACATTATAAGATAATAACAATTTTTAATAATATAAGCTTGTTTTTTTTTATATAAGAGTTTATATAAGAGTATGTTTTTCTTATATTTTTAATATAAGAGCTTAACCTGCAGAAAGTAGATGGACGCACGTAACTCAGCAGCTTTGGACTGTACTTTATGGCATTCCTTGATGGAGACCTATGTTCAGCAGTGGACTCGTGAAATGCTGTAATGGTGATGAGGGAGTAGAAATCTGATAATAACTTCGAAATTATTTCATTTATGGCGAATATTACGGGCGTATACGGACAGTCGCCAGTTTTCCTAACTCAAAATCAGATGAAAAGCTAAGCACTGCGATTAAGGTATATTTTAATAAGTATAGTACATAAGCTAATACAATATACTTTTGTCGTGACAAATTTATCTCAATAATTTGCGAATTATTTCTTTTCATGTACAAAACCCAAGCCCTACATTTTTCCCATTAAGTTATAAGAGAAAAGTTACAGAAAAACGTAATAAAAATATTTGATGGATTCTGTTAGATTCACCTCGTAACTGACTGCATTTTCTGAGGTTGCATTTAACATTTCTACCGTGAGGCTGGAAGGTGAGGTTGATTGAGAACGGTATAAAGTCACTTAAAAAACGGAATAAACAAAACTTCTATTCCAAAGATTAATCTATTTAATAGAGTGATTTAAATAATAAAATAATACGGTTGTTCCGTTAGTCGGAAATAATGAGGCCTAAAAGTTAGTACTAGTTCTCGTGTCTTACATGTAAATTTAATTTAAGGCATGCGTCCCAACCCTGATCCTGAGATATAAAACGGTTGAAGCAAAAGTAAAATTTTAAATCGCATTTTTAACGATATAATATACAAGTACATCTTACATCACTCATTAAAAGTTAGTACGCGGAATCAGTTTATTGTACACCTGACAATTTACCGTCAGTGGAACCACTCCTTATTGTGACGGGTGTCAAGCCGCAGTTACAGCTGACGCCTCCGTTTTGTTCCCAGGGTACAGGACAATAATTGTTACTTTGATTTTTAAATCCAACTATTCTTTGCAACAGCATACGCAATGTACTCGTATTACAGGCACTATGAAGATAGATTCGATCTTTCTTTTATGTATACGGCCAAAATTGTTATAGAATAGACTCTATACATTTTATTCAATATATATTATTACATAATACTTATTGAAAGTATTTTTTTTTATTTACCACTGGTGTGCAAAATACCTCTGTCCTGGGAAGAAACCAGTAATTAACTCAGTGGGATTATATTGTTTTATCCAAGAGCGAGTCTTATCCGACATTAATCTGATGATATCCCGGACGTCAGTCTGAGCGGGATTAGAATGGCTCTCCAGCACCTTAAAAACGGCAAGGCCCCAGGCGAGGATGGAATTACAGCGGAGCTTCTGAAAGCGGGTGGAAAACCGGTACTTGAAGTC